ACAACAAAACTGCAGGACTTCAACACCTTTCAAAAATAACTGAATATTGCTCATCTAAATTTCCGAATCAAAAGACCAGCAACAAATTGGATATTTTAATTTTTAACTAAATTTTTATTTTTTATGTTAATTACAGTGTGTTGACTTTGTATCTCAGCCATAGCCCCTTCCCTCATTCCCTCCTGATCTTACCCTCCCTCTACAATAGGCCTAATCTCTTTCTTGCCTCCAAGTAGTACATCTCAAAAATACAGATCTAACCTGAACAAATGGATAGAGTTATTCCAAGAAATTTTAAATAAGAAGCAAACAGGAGTTTTTATTTTGAGATCTGATAAAAAAAAATACTTCAAGCCAAAATTAATCAGAAGAGGTAAAGATAGGTTTATTTTAATTGAGGGGACAATCTATCAAGCCTATATTAGATCTAAAATAATATATTCATCAAACATCAATGTACCCTATTGCAGGGGGAAAAAAAGCTACTGAAAGTAAAGACACAGAATAACCTCCACAGTATAACAGTGGTCAGCTTTGATACCTGACTCTCACTGGGAGATGGGCCCTCCTAAAAAAAACGAAACAGAAACATTTGAATTAAAGAACATCATAGAGCAAATGAACCAAGGGATTTATAGGACATTCCTTCCAAATACTTCAGAGTGTACATCAGCAACCCTAGGGACTTTCCCTATAATTGATCATATACTAAAACAGACACACATACACACTTAACAAATACAGGAAATTTCAATTAATTTTTCTATTACATCTTCTTACTAGGGAATAAAACAAGAAAAAATTATAGAAACTATATATACACAGCCATGGAGAACATACACATGAATGAATGATGAATGGGTCACTGAAATAAAAAAAAAACTGAAATTATAGTTTTTTGTAGAATTGAATAAAAATGAAAAAGCATAATAGAATTATGGGCTACAGTAAAAGTAACACTAAGAAGGAAATTTATAGGTAAAAGTACCTACATAGATCATCAGATAATGCCAATAAAAGTACACTGAGATCCCGTCTCACTAGTCACAATAATAACCATGAAGAAAACAAATGACAAAAGTAAATATGAATTGTAGGTAGGATTGTAAACTAATCCAGGCACTACTGGCAGGATCTCAAAACTTAGAAAGAGATTGTATGCATGACCTGAGTAGAACATTCCAGAAGAAGAAATTCCACATCAAATACCACAGCACTTCTTGCATGCTGTTTATTAAAGTACTATTCACAACAGCTATTTCATGATTCACCTGAGATGTCTAACAACAAATGAATGGTTAAAGAAAAATGTGGTGTATGTGCACAACAGATTTTTTTTTTTAGCCATAAAAGAAAGGACATGGTAGTATTTGTAGGAAAATATATGTAACTGAAATAATCATATTAACTGAATTTGAATTAAACCAATTACAAGAAGAAGAATAAACATAGTTCTACTTGTCAAAAAGCAAAACTATGTTGTTATGAACATTTGTTTGCAAGGTTTTATTTTTAAGATTTATTTATTATGTGTACAGTGTATACATATATACATAATATCTGCATGGACACCTGCACTCCAGAAGAGGGCACCATATCTCATTGTAGATAGTTGTGCGCCACCATATGGTTGCTGGGAATTGAACTCAGGACCTCTGAAAGAGCAATCAGTGTTCTTTACCTCTAAGCCATCTCTCCAGCCCTGTTAGCCAGTTTTTTTTGTGTGCCTATTTCAGATTACTGGAATATGAATGGAATGACTGGGTGATATGATCATGCTCTATTGACTTGTTGAGGAACAACTACCTTTTATTCATATTGACTAAGAACTTTATATCCTTGCAAGTAATACACAGCTCTTCACCAACAATTTTTGCTGTAACTTCTTTTAAACCCACTTTGATTATAAAAGGCCTGATGGTTTTAATTTGTATTTCCATAGTGTTTTTCAATAATAAGTAATTTTTATGCTTATTAGCCATGTGTCTATAGGTTGGTTTTTATTTTGCTTTGTTTCTTATTTTTCTTAGTGTTTTGACAATTATGAATAATGTATATTGATTATGTTCATCCCACATACACACATTTCTTGTCCAGTTCAGGTTTCTATTGCTGAGATTAAATACCATGACCAAAAGCAAGTTGGAAGAAAGGGGGCTTGTTTGGCTTATACTTCCACATCCTACAGTTCAGTGCTGTGGAAATTTGGGATAGGAACTCAAACAAGGAATGAACCTGGAAGCAGGAACTGATGTGGAGGTGTGCTGCCTACTGTCTTGTTCCTCATGGCTTGCTCACCCTGCTCTCTTATAGAACCAGAACTACCTGCCCAGATGTAATACCACACACAGTGTGCTGGACTCTACCCCATCAACAGCAGTTAAGAAAATGTTCTTCAGGATTGCTTATAGCCAGTCTTTTAGAGGCATTTTCTCAGTCAAGGTTCCCTACTCTCAGATGACTGTAGCTTGTGTCAAGTTGACATAAAACAAGGCAATACACTTTTCAAATCCATTCCCCATCCTTACCCAGCCAATCTAGTATCTTATCTTAATCTATAAAGACCAATTTGTGCTTAGATACATGGAATTCTACTGGAGTGTGATTGACTAACCCAGGAATACAGGGGATATCCTCTTGGAGAAAACTGGTAAATTTTCCAATAGCTCCTTGGCTAGGATTGGAACTTCAGACCCAAATTTCCTCTACTCACTGAGATTTGGCCTATGTTAGGTTTAAAACACTGCTGGAAAGATGCAAAGACACAGCCAAACTTTGGGCAATGCACAGTCTTATGGAAGAAGAGGGGAGTGGATAGAGGGAAGTGGAGGGGACAGGAGCCCCACAAGGAGACCAACAAAGCTAAAAATCTGAGCCCAGGGGTCCTGCAGAGACTGATGCACCAACCGTGGACCATGCACGAATAGGACCTACATCCCCTGCTCAAATATAGCCGATTGCCAGCTCAGTCTCCGTGTGGGTACCTGAGTAAGGGGAGCAGGGGCTGCCTCTTGTCATGAACTGGATTTCCTGCTCTTAAATCACTGCATCGTCCCTGGCCATGCAGTCTTGCCGGACCACAGAAGAAGAGGATACATGGAGTCCTAATGAGAACTGATAAGCTATGGGGAGATGACAGAGGAAGAGAACTCTCCCTTTTATTGGACTAAGAGAAGGGGATAGAAGGCAAGAGGGACAGAGGGTGGGACTGGGAGAAGTTGAGGGAGAAGGCTTCAATTGGGATATATAATGAATAAATTGTGAAAAAAATAAAAATAAAATAAAATACTGCTGGAAGGTGATTTGCTTACTAACAGAGGAGAAAAGTAATCATCAATATTACCCATCTGTGAACGTTTTAAGCTACAATAATACTTAGCCATCTGGAAGATACCCATTGCTTTAAAAGAGTGGCATGAACATCATGCAAATAACTAACAATTTTTTTCATTAGATTTAAATCCTGCTCCACAAAAGACATGACATCATTGTCAGGTAAAGAACCTATAGCTAAATAGGCCTTATAAATAGTCTGCTAAGTGGACATAGTACTAAACCAGTAGCTAGTGATGTATTATTATACCTACAGGTAAATGCATTCTCAGTCCTCGTCAGAGACGTTTCTATTTGCAGTATACAATAAGTAACATAGATACCCATAACTGTATATGGCTTATTTACATGATATTTTCCAATTAAACTGTTTTCTGCTCTTAGGATAGAGCTACTGGAAAATATTTGGCATTTTTCTTAATGATAAAAATCAAGAGAATTGTGAATGATATTCTGTTTTACAATTGCCTAATTAATTTACCTGGTTGCCAATTTCATGTTGTATTATAGCTCTATGATGGAGAACACTTCTTTGATGTTTTCATTATTTACCATTATTCACTTAAGACTCAAAATTAGTAGCCTAGATAAAAAGTGGCTAGATAACACATATGTTAAAAAAAACTAATATTAAGGAACACATGTTTCTCAGTAAACATTTAAAAAATCTTAAGCACTTTAATCAACTTGCCTTCTGGATATGTACCTGTAGAAAATTAGAAAATGAACTGATATGAACAGAAGTAAAAAGCTGCATATGCAAAGGCAAACTTAGAAATTTTTTTTTCTTTCTTAATTCTTCCAGTATCTATCTTACCAGTAGATAAATAAAGTTACAGAGAAAATTTGGCCTAATTTATAAATAATAGCAATAACTATAATCAATTTGCATGTAAACATATGTACTAAAATGTTAAATAAAGAGAAAAATGCAGGTTTGTACATTCCACATGATTGCAATTACACGTTGAGGAGAATCTAGCCCAAATGCTTTTGGTCAAAAATAAATTATATTTCACAGGGTTTCTTTTCTTCTTGTTTTGGAACATTTTAGTACACTTTAATGTTTGAGTATTGCTAACTTCAAAATCTAAAATCCAAAACATTCATGGATTGAATTCTTTAACTTTGCTTTGCTTTGCTTTAAACATTCTGGGCATCAGAACTCTTCATATTTTTGACTTGTGGATTAGAAGCTAAGCTAGTGTAATAATAGCAACAGAAATCCCAAAACTATGCCTGGAATAAAAAATAGAAAGCAATACTTCAGAATGATTACTCAATTATCCCTATAAAGTCAAATTCACATAATACTCTGATGTTAAAATGCTGAACTCTGAAAGAATTTGTAATTTTCACATATTCCTTGACCGTTTTCACATTTTTCTTAATGACTGTACTCTAGTTAGAGGTTTGCAGACCAGAATCCTATACTTAAATGTTGTATATACTTTAAACTTTGATCAGTGTTGTTTATTTCAGGTTTATTGTGTTGTGCTGAGAACTTATGATGTAGAATCTGTTACTAGCATGATTTTTTTTCTAATAACAGTATGCTACTGAACAGTTTCACACGTTCCTTAAACTTTTTTTTGTTTATACATACATATTTTTGTGAAAGAATAAAATCTGAAATTTAAACATTATAAAATAATGTTTCTTTCCAGGTGCCCTGTTACCTAAAGTGGATGTTTCTGAGCCCCTGGTTGCCAGCTCACCAGTGAAGGGAGCTCAGTGTGCAGATCTTCCAAGTGAAGAGGAAGATAAAGTAAAAGAAGACCCCTTGACCATTTCTGAGCTAGCATACAATCCCAGCTCTAGCCTGCTCCCTACCCCAGTGGATGATGATGAAATCAACATGCTCTTTGACTGTCCATCTAGGCTGGAGTTAGAAAGAGAAGACACAGATTCATTTGAGGAACTGGAGGCAGATGAACATGCCTTTTTGATGGCTGAAGAGGAAGAGCTGAAGGAAGCTCGTCAAGCTTTGTCATGGAGCTATTCCATCCTGACTGGCCGTGTCTGGGTCAATCCCCTGATCAAGAGCTTCTCCAGGCTCCTTGTGGTGGGCCTGGGACTGCTGCTGTTTGTGTTTCCCCTGCTCCTCCTCCTTTTGGAGTCAGGTATTGATCTCTCCTTCTTATGCGAAATCCGTCAGACACCAGAGTTTGAGCAGTTTCACTATGAATACTATTGTCCCCTGAAAGAGTGGGTAGCTGGAAAAGTTAACATCTTCCTCTACATGCTGGGTTGTTCATAAGGTTCATATCTGATAACACTAAGGGCTATTTTCCATACCAGCAGTATCACTTTCAGTAGATGCTAGGTTTTGAATGGCCTTGAGTTATCAAGAGGTAGTCTTTTCTCTTAGCTGACTGCTTAAAGCTTGAAATAAGTTTTCTGTACTTCATTGATTTTTAGTCAAGTTAAATCAAATATAGTTCTTTGAGTACTCACTCAGAAAGGCAATCATGAAGTAACAAAAAAAATCTCTTTATCTTATCATAATAATATAATACATTAGAATTAGGTATTCCTGTTTCTTTATTGTGAGCTATAATGAAAAATCAGGATTTTAGTAAAAATACAAGGGAAATCTTTTTAATATAACCTTTGGTGAAAATAATGTCCTCTTACTGATGCCTATACAAATAAGTTGATGCTGGGTTTTTCAGTTTTTTTTAAAAAAACTATTTTTATGGGTTCTAACTATTTTCATAAATTTTTAGCAAAAAAAAAAAGAAGCTTTCTGGATTTATTTAAGTATACATATTGTAAAACTAATGCATGTCAAATTTTTTAATGTTTTGACACCTGATTTTTTAAAGATATTTTTTGGCTAACTAATCCATAGTTTATTACCTGCATATGACTTTGAAAAATTACAGTAAGAAACTATAGTAAGTTCTCAAAACCTGATTAGAATATATGACCATAGAGAACATTGAGTTGACATTGTGGGATCTAGTTTTCAAAGTTTTAAGCCATGATAATCTTATAATTTTATTTGCATTTTGTCCATTTGTTTGGTCTGGGGAAGCAGAGTGCTTTTAAAAGAAACTGAAAGTACTTGTGATAGTAAAATTGTAAAAGATCCACTAGTTAATTGTTATTGTGTACTAATCTAAGGGAAAGCAGGCAGGAGTTTGGCAAGTGGAAAGTGGCAACAAAGAGTTCTGGAGAGACTACTAGGCAAGTGCATGTGGTTGCCTGTATGAAAGTGATGGTGATACATGACACTCAATGTAAAGAGCTGTGAACTCATTTTCTGAGTTCATAAAATCATGTTTAGTTAATAAAAGTGGAGAAATTTTTAGGGTTAATTTTTGGGCTCCCTCATGGTTTTTATTAATATTCTCTGAGTGAACTTTCAAGGTGTGTGTGTGTACGTGTGCGTGCATGTGCGTGTGTGCATGCATGCATGTTTTTGTGTGTGTTTAAGAAAGAGAGAATGGGGGAGTAGAGATAGACAAACAAATAACAAGAGACAGAGATTGAGGGAGAGACAAATAGAGACAGACATAGACACAGAGAGATTTCCTTTATGGATTTCTCTAAGTTCTGAACTCTTTTGTAATTGAGGCTTCTATTGAATCAATGAAATGAATACGCCAGTTCTGTTTGGGTAAAGTAAAGTGATAAATCCAGTAGTGCATTCCTTCATGTCAGTGAACTAAGATAGAAAGCTGGTGCTTTCCATTGCTTGTCTCTTACCAAAGATGTGTTACCAGTAAGAAATAAAGAGGTATGGAGTTTACAACATAGTTTCTTTTATGTTGAAAACAGCTCATTGCCTTTGGTTGTGAAGAGACTGGGCACACAAAATGAGCACATTCTGAGTGTTCTATTAAGTAATTACTTTGGGAAGTAAGCATTAAAAGTAAGCTTTGAACGTCAGCTCTTGAGACTTTTAGATAAAGGCATTATAATATATACTTGCTATTGCATCCATGATTTATATTACCTGGACATGAAACCATTTATTTTGTAATTTTGCTACCGATCAACATTTTGACTGAAGTTTTAATTTTTCTCTCATATGACTTTGAAGTCATATGCTCTGGCATGGGGATATTCCAATACAGTTGATAGAAAATTACTCACCCTTTTAATTGTGCTTCGTATTTTCTTTGAAATGCTAAAAACTCATCTATCCTTCATTTTTAAAAATAATGTTTAAGTTGGATAATATTTTTAAATTATGGAGATAGCATATTTATATTATAAAATATAAAAAGAAAATAAGACAGATATAACATGTAATATATGCATGCAGATTTGTAATGAGGAGCAAGATGCAGATAGTTTTAACATTTGTGGCTTGCATCGTCCTTCTCTTGAAGAACAATTCACTGCAGAGTAGAAATACTCTGTCTTAGGGGAAGACAGAATAAGGACTGCTAAATTAAAACAAACTGCCAAAATGCCCAACACGGGGATCATATAACATCATTTATTTGATAGAAAATGAAAGCCTTTAAGAAATATTCAGTTTTTATTAGAAAGTTTCATCAGTTGTTTGAATCAAGTGAAGAAAGGATTCTTCAAAAGATAGTATATAAAATTTTGAGATTGAGAGTTCAAAGCAAGTACATAGTATGTGAATATTCTATATTATGGTGTATTTATAAAATATATGTGTATTTATATAGACATAGCCCACATGCATTTCATACATACTTACTTGTGCTTATTTTGCCCCAGGTGAGGAATTTTTGGTATACTAGTGTTCCTTTCTCTCCCAGATACCATGATCTGTAGACTCTCAAGTGCTTAATTATTTTATTCAAGTATTTTGTGTATGTTTGTGGATTTGTGTACACAGAGAAAGAGAAAGCAAGTAAGTGTACACACATTTCTCTTTAGTTCTAATATGAGCTTTATAATGAGAATGATACAGGTAAAGAATCATATATTTCTGAGTTTGGAATATAATGTATGTTATGTATTTACAGCATACTTTGTAGTTTGTCTAATATTTATGAACATTGGAAATAATTTGCAATGAGTTTATTTCTTGGAAATAACAAGAGATATGGGGGCCGTATTACTGTTATTGGAGCTGTATCTTTGTATAGTAAAATTAGCATTTCTATGTCAACATCTAGATTGTATGTCTGTTAATATGGTAGCAGGATTGTCTAATAAAATACTCTGGGGCAAAATATTTTTTTCATCATTCAGTTTTATTTTATGTAAAGTAATGGCTGGAAATTATAGGACGATGTGTGTTAGGTAATGGAGAAGATTGCCTACTATTCTACTGAAGTTACTAAGGTCCAAGCAGAGAAATAAGCATGAGAAACACACTCCAGTATAAAAGAAACCATTGGCCAAATTATTGGTATTAAGACACAGATATGGTTGGGACTTGTCCTTTTTGTGCAGAGCTTTGATCGAGCCCCCCTTAGTTCTCCGCCATCTTTTTTTCTTCTAACCCGTCTCCATTTCTTTATGACTTCAGCTGACACAGAACTTGTTTCTACTGTAGACCCAGAGCCATCACATTTGCCTTGTCTGAAAAATTATTAAACTCAAAAACAGATTAAAGACCACACTTAACCCTCCTTCCTGTCTTCCACTCAGGTCTCTCCAGACTTGTTCTTAAGCCTACCACTGCCTACCTCGCAGCCCACTTCCATCCCTTTGGGACTTGGTGGAAATCCAGAATCTAAAGTATCGCTAATTCCTCCCTGCCACACTTTTCAGCCATTTGTTTTAGATCAACTGCATTGCTTTGTGACTCCCCATATGACATGCAGACCTACTCTGTATAAGCATAACCACCAAACTAGGGTGGGAATAGGGACCTTGCAGCACCACACTTAGCTAAGACTCATATTGGGCAACAACAACCAAGGAAAAGAACATACACACAACAAAGGCAAGATACCAAAATCTCCAAATGACACAACTCCAGATAACTGGATCTCAAAAACAAAACAAAACAATACCATAAACAATCAGAAAAATACATCGCAGGGCTGGAGAGACAGCTCAGAGGTTAAGAGCACTGGCTCTTTCAAGGGTTCTGAGTTCAATTCCCAGCAACCATATGGTGGCTCACAACCATCCATAATGAGTTCTGGTGTGCAGGAGTACATGCAGGCAGAACAGTGTATACATAATAGATAAATAAATCTTTTAAAAAAAGAAAGAAAGAAAATACATCTCAGAGGCTGGAGAGATGGCCCAGTGAATGAGCACTGTCGGCTCTTCCAGAAGTCCTGAGTTCAATTTTCAGCAACAAAATGGTGGCTTACAATCATTATATTGTAATCTGATACCCTTTCTTTCATGCAGATATACATGCAGATAGAGCACTCATACATTAAATAAATAAATAAGTTTTTTTTTTAAAGAAAAGAAAATATGTTTCATCCAGAAGCCAGTAACCCCCAATAACTGTCCCAAGGAAAGAAATTTAGCTGAAATACAGGACAAGGACTTCAAAATGGCAAGTATGCATATACTCAAGAACCTTGAAGATACAAATAAACAAATGCCTAATGAACTGAATGAAAAAAATAAAAATAATGATAGACATGAAAATAGAAATGAATGGAATCATTAAAAATGCAAACTGAAGTAAACCTTGAGATGAAAAACTCAGGCTGTTAAAAAAAACTCAGAGGTAAGGCTCACAGATTAAAACACACAGAAGAGAAATTTTCAAAAATTAAAAACAAAATAGAAGAAATAGCTCAGTTAAAGAAAATGTTAAATATTTTTAAAAATTTATTATTATTTACATTTTATCCTAGCTGTAGCCCCCTCCCTCGTCTCCTCCTGGTCCCACACTCCAGTCCTCTTCCCTCCTATGTCCCTCACCTAGTCCCCCAATAGGGGAAGTCCTCCTCCCCTACTATCTGACCTTAGCCTATCAGGTCTCATCAAGACTGTCTGGATCCTCTCTCTTTCTCTCTCTCCCTCTCTCTCTCTTTCTCTCTCTCTCTCTCTCTCTCTCTCTCTCTCTGTGGCCTAGTTAGGCCACCTCTCCAGGTAGAAGTGATCAAATAGCTAGGCACTGAGTCCATGTCAGAGACAGGCCCTGCTCTTCTTACTAGGGAACCCGTATGGAGACTGAGCTGCCATGAGCTACATCTGAGCCAGGGGTCTAAGTCTTCTCCATGCATGGTCTTTGGTTGATTCAACAGTCTCTGCAAGACCCCATGCACACAAATATTTTGGTTCTGTTGGTCTCCTTGTGGAGCTCCTGTCCCCTCCAGGTCTTTCTATCTCCTCCTTCTTTCATAAGATTACATTCACTCTGTCCAAAGTTTGGCTATGAGTCTTGGCATCTGCTTTGATAGCCTGCTCAGTAGTCTTTTAGAGGATATCAGTGGTAGGCCCTGTCCTGTCCCACTGTCTTCTCCTGCTTCTGATGTCTACCTTGTTTGCCCTTCTGAATGAGGATTAAGCATTTTCCTTAGGGTCTTCTTTGTTGTTTAGCTTCTTT